TCCGTTCGGAACCCAGGAATTGGCGCAGTGGTGAGCAGCAGAAAGAAGGCCTCTCTGGTTTGCTGAGAACTGAAGCCCACTGGGTGAGCAAAAAGTTACCTCAACAAAGGTGCAGTGGGCTGCATCTGTTGAAATGAGAAAACACATAAACAAGTCTCAAAACCAGACTTCCACATCATCTAAGGCAACCCCAAGGGGCAATGAGATGGAACAATCTGATACTCAACCACCTGGACTCCCTGATCTGGAACCAGAGGGTCTGGAAAAAATGAAATCAGAAATAATTTCTCAGATAACAACAGAAATTGTGTCCATAGTGCAAGACATGATTAATAACTCTATAGCAGACATGGATAAAAAAGTAGAGGAGCTGAGGAACAAGATGGAATCCCAGCATAGGAAACAAATGGAATCCACAAAACAGATGCAAACAGATATCCACGAAATTAAAAACTACAATGCAAGTTTACACAGCAGAATGAGACAATGTGAGGACAGAGTCTCAGATATAGAAGACAGGATTGCAATTATTGACCAGGAAAAGAAAAATTTCTTAAAAATAGTAAGGCAACTTGAGAAATTGGTCCAACAGCTGATAGATGATGTAAAGAAGAATAACGAAAGTCTGATCAGTCAATGAAGAAACAGGATAGAGTGCAAATGATATAAAAAAACCATTCACAGAAGTAATGGCAGAAAACTTCCCAAGCAGGGGAAAAGAACTTCACATACAGATAAGTGAGGCATATAGGACTCCAAGTAGTAGCGATTTTAAAAAATCTAAACCTATGCATATAATAGTTAAGATTCCAGAAACTCAAAAAAGAACAAAATCCTACAAGCAGTAAGAGAAAATAAATAAATCACATACAAAGGAAAGCCCATCAGAATCATAGCAGACTACTCAACACAAACCCTCAAGGCAAGAAGAGACTGAAATGAAGTATTTCAAGCCCTAAAAGAAAACAACCTTCAACCCAGACTGATGTATCCTGTAAAACTAACTTTCAAAATTGACAGATATTTTCAAAATTGATAATATACTTTCATGACAAAGAGCACCTGAGGAACTTCATGAATACCAAACCAGCACTTCAAAAAATTTTAGACAATGTCCTAGGAAAAGACAACGAGGATCACAACCCCAGAAGCCCAGCAGAATGAATACATCAGGCATGACAAGAAATTAAAGGCAAAGGGGGAGAATCCAACAAAAAGAAAAAGTCATGACAAGGATAAGTCAATAATATCAGTTATATCTATCAATGTTAATGGTCTCAATTCACCAATCAAAAGAAACAGACTGGCAGCATGGGTCAAGAAGCAAGATGCAACAACATGCGGAATACAAGAAACACAATTAACTCAAAAAGAAACTCATAGACTGAAAGTTAAAGGGTGGAAAACAATACTCCACGCAAATAGGAACCCGAAAAAAAGCAAGACTAGCTACCATATTTGCAGATCAAATGGATTTCAAACCAACACTAATTAAGAGAGACAAGGAAGAACATTAAATCCTTGTAAAGGAAAAAATTCAAGAGGAAGCTATAATAATCATAAATATATATGCACAGAATACTAGTGCACACAACTGTATAAAACAAATATTAACGGACATGAAAAATCAAATAAGCACTAACACAATAATAGTGGGTGACCTCAATAACCCCCTGTCACAAATAGATCATCTAGTCAAAAAATAAACAATGAAATACTAGAACTCAATCAAACTCTTGAATAAATGGACTTAACAGATGTTTACTGAGTGTTCCACCCCACAAAATCAGAATATACATTCTTTTCAGCTCCACTTGGGTCGTTTTCCAAAACAGACCACAAACTTGCTCACAGAACGTGTTTAAGTAATTGCAAAGGAACTGAAGTTATCCCCTATATATTATCAGACCAAAGTGTGATGAAATTGGAGCTCAATAGCAAAATAAACCATAAGAATTTCATAAACACATGGAAACTGAACAATACACTGCTGAACAACCAATGGGTCACTGAGGAAATTAAAAAAGAAATCAGTTTCTACAATTAAATGACAATGCCAATACAACGTACTGGAATCTATGGGACACAATGAAAGCAATCTTACGAGGGAAATTCATTGCAGTGAATACTCATATTAGGAAAACAGAGCAAACTCAAATAAATAACCTAATGATGAACCTCAACCTTCTAGAAAAAGAGGACAAACTCAAAGCTCATACAAGGGAGGAAATGATAAAGATCAGAGCAGAAATCAATGCAATGGAGACTAAGAGAATGATACAAAAAAATTAATGAACCAAAGAGTTGGTTCTTCGAAAGAATAAAGAAAATTGACAAACCCTTAGCCAATCTTATCAAAAAACAGGAACGAAAAGGCCCAAATCCATGCAATTAGGAATGAAAAAGGGAGAAATTGCTATGGACTCAGCAGAAATCCAGAGGATCATCAATACCTATTTGAGAACCTATACGCCAATAAGATAGAAAACACAGAAGAAATGGACAGATTCCTAGATACATATGAATTACCAAAGTTGAACGAAGAAGACCTAAAAATTCTAAACAACCCAATATCAATCAATGAAATTGAAAACATAATTAAAAAATTAGCAACTAAAACAAGCCTCGGTCCTGATGGCTTCACTGCTAAATTCTACAAGACATTTAGAGAACTATTGCCACGACTGTTTAAACCTTTTAATGAAATTGAAAGGAAAAGAATACTCCTAAATTCATTCCAGGAAGCAAGCATCACCTTTATCCCAAATGCTGAGAAAGATCCAACTGAAAAAGAGAACTATAGGCCAATCTCACTAATGAACATAGATGCAAAAATCCTCAATAAGATACTGGCAAATAGAATGCAAAAGATCATCAAGAAGATCATACACCCTGAACAAGTGGGATTCATTTCAGGGATGCAGGGATGGTTCAACATATGCAAATCAATCAATGTAATACATTATATTAATAGAGCCAAGGACAAAAACCATATGATCACCTCAATAGATGCAGAAGAAGAATTTGACAAAATCCAACACACATTCATGATAAAACCCCTACAGAAAATCAGAATAGCCAGTCTCTATCTCAACCTGATAAAAGTCATCTATAAAAAACAGCCAGTATCATACTAAATGGTCAAAAACTGAAATCTTTCACACTAAAATAAGGAACAAGACAAGGATGTCCACTATCACCACTCTTGTTCAATAGAGTTTTGGAAACATTAGCCAGAGCAATTAGACAAAAGAAAGGAATAAAAGGAATAAAGATAGGAAACGAAGAAGTTAAATTATCATTATTTGCAGACAACATGATACTCTATATAGAAGACCCCAAGAATTCCACCAAAAGTCTACTAGACTTAATAACCAAATTCAGTAGAGTAGCTGGATACAAGGTCAACACACAAAAATCAACAGCTTTTCTGTACATGAACAACAGACTCACTGAAAGAGGAAGTGGAGAAACAACTCCTTTCACAATAGCATCCAAAAACATGAAATACCTAGGAATCAACCTAACAAAGGAAATCAAAGAGCTCTACTCCGAAAACTATAGCACTCTGAAAAAAAAAGAGATCAAACAAGATATCAGAAAATGGAAAGGCATCCCTTGCTCCTGGGTAGGAAGAACCAATTCAGTGAAAATCGGCATACTTCCAAAACTGCTATATAGATTCAGTGCAATCCCAATTGAAATTCCAGCACCATACTTCACAGACCTTGAGAAAACAATCAAAAAATTCATCTGGAACAAGAAGAGACCTAGAATAGCAAAAGCAATTTCAGACAACAAAGACAAGGTAGGGAATATCACAATCCTCAAAACTATACTACAAAGCTACTGTAATAAAAACAGCATGGTACTGGCAAAGAAACAGACCCAAGGACCAGTGGAACAAATCAGAAGATGCAGAAACAACTCCAGACACACTCAGCCAACACCCAGCCACCTCTTCTTTGACAAAGGAGCCAAATACCCTCACTGGAGGAAAGACAGCTTCTTCAATAAATGGTGCTGGAAAAATTGGGTTTCAACTTACCAAAGATTAAAACTAGAAGGGTCGGGGATTTAGCTCAGTGGTTCCGGTGCCTGCAAGTGCAAGGTCCTGAGTTCAATCCCCAGTACAAAACCAAACAAAACAAAACAAACTAGACCTATATCGCTTACCATGCACTAAACTAAAATTGAAGTGGATTAACAATCTAAATATTAAAACAGAAACACTAAACTGGCTGAAAGAGAGCTTAGGTAGGAATCTTGAAGACACTGGTGTAGGAAAAGATTTCATGAACAAAACCTCAGTTGCATGTGAACTACCACAAAGAATCAACAAGTGGGATCTCTTCTTATTAAAAAGCTTCTGCGCAGCAAGAGAAACCACCAACAGCGTGAAGAGACAACCCACAATGTGGGAAAAATTTTTCCCCAGCTGTTCCTGGGAATGGCTGTTCCTGAGAATGGGTGCTATCATGAAATCAAGTAATAACAAATGCTGGCAGGGCTATAGGAAAAGGGAACCCTGCTCCTCTGTTGGTGGGAGTGTAGACTGGTGCAACCACTGTGGTGATCAATATGGAGATACCTCAAAAAACTAGGACTAGAGGTCCCATTTGACCCAGCTATTTCCCTGAACTACACAGGGAGACCTTGTCTCAAAAACAAAATGAAACAAAACAAAAAAATAAAGATGCTGTCTTATTCTTCACTTTCAGGATGACTTTGGCCACCAAATATGGCACACTTGTTCACTGGAGAGAAACAGATGCACAGGTTGGGATGGTAACATGTACAGGCTGTTTAACCTTCATCTACTATACCTTTCATTATAAAAATAGATTGTTTATTGCAACAGGAAAGCCTTTGGCTTTCTAAGATTGTAACTCTTTAGGAAATTAGAAGATGACGTTGCTTCTGGAAAAACATTAAGCGAGTGCAGGACCTAGAGACTTCACTATCGCCTAGGGCACTCTTGTCTTCATCTCCCTCCTTACCAAGAACGTCACTGGTGGCCATGATGTCACAGGTGTACATAGCTGCCATCAGGCGCTGTGGTTTCACCTGCAGGGCATAGCGACATGCTTCCTTCATGGTGGCAATCAGCTGTCCTGAAAAGGGCCCATAGCAGTCAGTGACTGAAGGTTCTCCTTTCTGGGAAGTCCTCTTCTCAGAGACCTCTGAGCAGCCATCTGGTAACTCTTGGTTTTCATCTCCACTGGGACAGCGTCTGTCTCCCTCCTGACCCTCTTCTACCACATAATTATGTTCACGATTCTGGTTATCACTTGCTCCTTGTTCCTCAAGTTTACTTATGTCCCACTTTTCCAGAACAAAACAGACACCCATGAGGGGCTCTTCACACATGGGGCCAGAGAGAGTTGCCAGCTGGAAGCCACTCACGATGCTATTGCCCAGGTCTCGGTATCTACTTGCTGCTTGGGAAGCTCTGCCAGCTGCTCCAGTCCACACCGAGTTCTGGAAGTCCACACTTCTACTGACCAGTATGTTGGGCCCACACTTTCTTGGGCCGAACGACCAAATTTGGTCAATGGTGTTCCTCCATTTTCTCCCTGTTAGATGTTGTTCTAGTTTTCTTTTGAATTCCCACATTTTCTCTTGGGTCTTCTGATGAATCATCTGAGTATTTTTGCCATCATCCAAAGAAGATGTCAGTTGTTCCACAGAACGAATCAAATCACTGTTTTCTTCCAGAATCTGAGTGACTTCTTCTGGAAGAGGGATGGCACGAACACTGAGTGTGGCGAGTTTATTGGGGGTTGTGATGGTGATCAGCCCATCAGAGTCAACCTGGACTCCTTCAGGGATTTTGCTCTGATCTTCTCTTGTTTGGTGTATGACTGCAACTTTCTGTTGTTTGCCTATTTCTTCATTGACCATGTCAACTTTTGGGGGTTTTGTGATTGTTTCTCTAAATGGAATAATGGGTTCAGATACACTGATATGAATCTTTGCAAACCTACAAAGTCAAGAGAAATAAAAAAAGGTTACAATCAAAATGGCATCAATGCTTCATATTATGCAATGAAGACTGTGCACAAACACAGAAACTTAGAAATTATATTACTATGAAAGATTGTAATTTATAATATATCACAATTCAGATATAATACTGCTTTCCATTTTGGCTTGAAAAGACTACCTCTAAGGAGAACACACCTTCAGGGAGTTCTATGCTTATACTATGCTTATACTGAAATTTCATCACTTTGTTCATACTCAAGATAAATAAACCATCTATTTAGACAAGATGTTTTGAGTGGAAAATACATGTTTTAACAAGACTTGACATATGAATTCTTCAAAATACAGTTTGCCAGTCTAAGAGTCTGGAGAAGAAAAGCCCAATCAGTAGAGCACTAAATACATGCAGAATTAGAGAATGTCAAGGAGAATTTGTTGTCAAATCCTCACGACATATTTTGGTCTGATAATGAGGCTCAGAGGCTTTCAGGATACCTATACCTTTACTCCATACCTTCATGGTGATTATCAAGCACTTAAAATGTGGCCAGTACAACTGGAAGGAAACAGCCACATGTAGCTACTGAGCATCTGAAATCTGGCTAGTATAACTGAGGAACTAGATTGTTAATTTTGATTTTAACTAATTTGATTTTAAAGAGTTTCACATGGATATTAGCCACTATACTGGATAGCATAAAGTCTTGAGCCCTGATCTGGCACCAAGTTCAGAAAGCCCTTCTTCCCACATAACACAAGTATAGTTTCATGCTGGCCTTTCTTCTGAATGAAGTTCTAAATTCACATAGGACAGAGTCTGATGATGATGGAACCAGACAGTATCTTTATCTCTCAGTTTCTCCATTCCTCACTGCCAGTCAACACTGCAGCTCTGGTCTGGTCCATATCGTTTACTGCATCCGCAATGTGGATGCATGTATGTAAAAATGTATGCACATATGTGTACATGTGTGTATATGTGCATATGCACACTAGAGGAACTTTTTCCTTAGAAAATGCTGTTCTGTAAGGAAACTGAATACTAAAGTTTCTGAAGTGTTTATATTTAATTCCAGATTTTCTATTTTCTATACTTTGGGGGTAGGTATCATCTTATGACTTGACAAATTTTAAGTCAATACATAATATTCTCAAAATAATGATATTCAAATTCACTTTTAGAACACAGAATTTGAAATACACTATAACATGTGAAAGAAAATCAAAAAATGAAAAGGATATTTCCAATAAAAGATATGATTTTGTAGTGGGGTGTGGTGGAGCATGCTTCTAATCCCAGAACTGTAGGAGGCTGAGGCAGAAGGATCACAAGTTCAAACCTAGCCTGGGCAACTTAGTCCCTAACTTAAAAAATAAAACATGGGTTGGGGATGTAGCTCAGTGCAAAGGCCCTAGAGTTCAATCTCCTGTACTGCTTAAAAAAAAAGTTATAGTTTTGTAATTTTTTCATATCCAATGATTAGCTTGTTTCAATAAATATATACATGCAGAATGTACAAGATTGATTTCTACATGTATTAATTTTCAGTTACTATGATGCTCATTTAAACCCAACAGTACGAACAAAACCACAGTTCAATTCTACCAAAGAATTCAGATATTAAAGCTAAGATAAAATTACTATACAATGAAAAACATGTACATGGGCATATGTACTTTGTTTTCGATGTTCACTTATTATGTACGAGATAGGGTTACCACTGTGTTTTACATGAATTGCTTCTTTAGTTGTATTAGTATTATCCTCATTTAGTAGAAGGGAAAATTAGCTAAGACAGGTTAAGCTTCTTCTCCAAATGGCTAGTTAATGGAGAATTTAGGATCCAAATCTAGGTCTGACTTCAGAATCCACACTCCTAGTCATTATACTACACTGAAAAATGGAATTAAAGACTGCAGTTTAGGAAAAAATTCACAACAGTTTTTTCTTAAACCATAGATTATTATAAAAATTAGTTTGCATTAGCTCTGTTAATAGAATATATAAAATTAAAATGTCAATTTTTGAATCATCTTTAAAAATATAAAATCAGCATTCAAGAAAATTCAATACCTAGTGTTGATTTTTACATCTGAAAAAAAAGACTGTCATTTATACATGATCTTTTTTCTTAGCAAGCCAAGAATAAAACTGATAAAGAGTATCTTCAAAATAACTAGAGCAAACATATACTACTGGTTTGAAAGCTGCTGTTTGCAGCCAGGATTAAGACAAAGGTGTCTACTGTTACAGATTCTGTTTAGCATTGTACTAGAGAATTTGGGAAGCATTATAAAGAAGAATAAAAATACAAATATGAGAACTGGACAAGAAAAAAAAAACTCTTCATGGGCTAAAAGCCTTTAAAAACTATTAGAAATAGTAAATAGTTTCAGCATAATTGCCATATTCTAGAATCATATATAAAACCTATTTTATTTCTATCTAAGCAGAATATGATTTTTTTTTTTTTTTTTTGGCAATGCTGGGCACTGAACCCAGGGCCTTGTGCTTGCTATGCAAGTTCTCTACCACTTGAGCTATATTCTCATCCTTGAAAAGTGTTGTTTACAAAGTGATTTAGGTTGCCCATTTACTGACACTTATATATCACCTTCATAGAGAAATATAAAGAGTTCCAGAAGGTTCACACTGTGGAGACAACAATAAAAGTCTATCGTAATCACACCTACATTTACCAAAACTTATTGTTGCCCTGATATGCATGCTATGTATATGCTTAAACTAAAATATACACATGTGAAAATGTTTTATAATTTAAACTAAAAATGCAAAATAGTTCAAGGGTGGTCAATAAATTCCATTTTTTAGTTAATAAAAATTATATTGATAATCCAATGACAGTCTATGTCTGAATGGAGGGCATTTCATTTTCCTCCAAATACAGGCCACAGTCCAAGTTTGCCTGGTTTAGGAAACACTGAAAAACATCCCAAACAAACCTATCATTTCTCCATCTCTAACACTTTTATCTAACCTTTCTTTTAAGTCATCCAAGCATCGCTGAAGATGAACTTCCCCTGCTGTCACCAAAACGTGCTCTCCTGTTTCCTGAATTAAAATCTGGACACAGGGATCAGCTTGGTTCAAGAGCTTCATTCCTTTCACAAGCTGAGGCATTTCACCTAGGTTAATAAAATACGGATTAAATATTAGAACTAACACAGTCTAAAGATAATAGCCACTCACGAAAATTACAATGAAATAAAATCTTAAAGTAATGGTAAGTTTATTTTTCTTCCAAATAATGCAGCGATATGAATAAAACTTCCATGCATTCATCTACACAGACAACACGAGACACTCACAAGCTTATCATCACGACTCCAAACCTGACTTACACAACTTCTTCAAATGGTCAGCAGATACAAATATCATTATTATAAAGATTAAATTTATGATCCAACATCATATAAATCTTATTATGAGTGAACATATTATATACCTAGAAATGTAACAGAATATTTCCTGAAATGATACATATAACATCAACAAATTACCAAGAGAATCATTTAATGATAATCAAAAAACTTTACCAGAACTTCACACTAAAAATAACTATTTGTGAAACTGCTTGATAGAACTGTGGATTTTAGAATAAACAAGCTACTGTACCTGGTGAGCAATGGCACTATCTGTACTGCACTCTGCTTGTGCTTTTGGTGTATAAGGTTAAGTCCCCAACTTATGAATGAGGTATGTTTCAGGAGAATTGTTCGTAAATCGGAGCCTTCCTGTAATTCTTCCCTAAGTTCATGGGACTTGAGAGGATGGATGGGGACTATGATAGCTGCTTTTTCACCCCTTTCAGCTCCTAAGATTCACACAAGGGAGCCCAGAAGGTCTCTTGCTGCAGCCTAAACAGAGACTTTTGACTTTGAAGGCATTTTTATGCAGTACTGTTTCAATTCTACATATGAAGAAAAGAATTAGCAACAATTCAATGCTTGGTTTCAACACACTAAACATACAAAACCACAGGGGCTTTCTGAAAGGCAGTGGTTTTTAACAAGCATTACAAAAGTTTATTAATTAGTGGCCTGGAAAAGAATATTAGAACTTTCGTGCCTATTTTTAAAATAAAATTATTTTAGCTAGGCGTGGTGGCATACACCTGTAATTCCAGCACTCTAGAGGGCTGAGACTGGAGGATCATAAATTCCTGCCCAGCCTGGGTAATTTAGCAACCTAGCAAGACCCGGTCTCAAAATAAACAATTAAAAAAAGAAGGGCTGGGGATATAGCTCAGTATGAAGGCCTTGGGTTCAATCCTGAGTACAAACAAAAAAATCTTTTAATAATAACTAACACTTTGTAGCACCATCCCTATGCCAGACAAGCACTCCGCCTATATGAAGTCATCAACTGTGAGGCAGGTACAATTAATGCTCTCACTCTGTAGATGAGGAAAAAAGTACGGAAGAGCTAAGGAGCTGTGCTCAATGTGAAGAGCGATGATGGAGCAGAACCTGGTTTTGAAACTGGTTAGCAGGCGTGGTGCCCACGCTCCACAGGCACACGGCACAGGGCCACAGTCACAGCCACTCTGGGTGCAGGAGCCGTGAGGCAGGCAGAGTGGGTTGCTCCACACGCAGGGCCAGCAGAGGCACCTTGCCCTATACCTTTCAGCATATTCCTTTGTTATTTTCCTTTGCTTGACTCAGAGGACTTACAGATCCCTCCTAGTGTTACTACCCTAACCTTCACAGAATTTAAAACCTGGCTGAAAAGGATTCCTACAGAGAAAGCACTGATAATACTAATAACATGCACATCATCACCACCACCACCACCACCACCACCACCACCACCATCATTATCCACAACTTTCCCCAGTACTCCATCAGCCAAATTATAAAGTAAACACACACTTAAAATCTGTTTCTTCAAGGTAAAGATGACAGTTTAACAATAAGAAATATTTTAAATAAAATTGAAACATGGAGACAACATTTTGCAATTAGTTATTTTAAAACATTTCCACTGACAGACATTCTGTCAAAAACGTAATAAATACATCGTGTATAAACCTCTCAAAATTTACAAGGTGATTTTCCTACCCCATATTAAAAATCTTCCAAGCGGATAGTGCATTGAAGATATAAAAATCAACATCTCCAAATTTTTGTAAGAAAAACTAACATTAAGGAAAATAGATAACTTTTATGGGTTGTAAATGGGATTCTACAATGGACATCATGACTTGGTAAAGGAAGAGGTGATGCATTTCTTTCACTGGGACTTGCGTTTCTGTGAAGTGGCTTTCCCAGTGACAATAACTTTCAAATAAAGTGCTGTAATAAATGGAATCGAGGAGCAGACATCTGAGGAGCAGTATTAGTGTTAAAGCATGGTATTCAAAAACAATGAGGCCTTATTGTATAGTCAGCTTCTAATTCAGCCCCAGCCATCTGGCCCCTGACATTCATCCTGCCATGTGTCCCCTTTACAGTGCGTTAGATTGGCCTATGTGACCCACAAAACACTGTGGAGGTGGCCACATGTGTCTCTGAGGGTCAGCTCCAGGTTACTGGCAAAAGCCAGTGACCTCACACTATTCCACAGGATGCATGAGAAGGTCCCAGTGGAAAGGAACAGAGGTCTAGCCAGCACCAGCTGAAGGACAGCTGAGCCTCCAAGAGGCTACAGCCTCAGGTGATGTTTGACTGCAACTGCAGGGAGACACCAAGCTGAACAGCTCCCAAACTCTTGACCAAAGAGACTGTAAAAAAAATGATTAGTGTTGTTTTAAGCCACTAAGAATAATGTGCTATGCAATATTAGATAACTCACAGAATTACAAACCACAATCACAAGTAAGTGATACCTACAATATGAAGCTTCATCAAACACTAAAGGCTAAGGCAGGAAGATCACAAGTTTAAGCCCAGCCTCAGCAATTTAGTGAGGCCCTGTCTCAAAATTAAAATAAAAAGAGCTGGGGATGCAGCTCAGTGGTAGAGTGCTTGTCTAGCATGTGTAAGGCCCTGGGTTCAATCCCAGTATAAAAAAACCCCAAAAACCAATAACTACAACAATAAAAATCTAAAAAACTTACATCATTTTAATCTTAAACTTTTAAATAATTTCTACATTTGTGTTTCATAATGTAAATGAAACATGTATCCATAGCAACAGGAACAAAAACCCACTTCCTTAACTGACACGGATAAAGGATGCAAGAATTCTGAGATAAATAGGATTTAAATTCCTCCTAAAGATAGATTCAGAACTGTCACTAGGCAGAGGTTCGACTCCTAAATCAACTGCTAACTGTAAAATCTTGGACATGTTAATTACCTTTTTCATGCTGCAGTTTCCCTCATGTGAGGATAAGATAAAAAATAGCATCTTAATCCACATAGCTTATGAGAGAATTAAATGAGATAATAAATGGAAAATCCTCAGTATAATGTGTGGAATGCAGGAGGGATCAGTGGTAATAAAAGTAACAATGGCTTCGGGATGTCTGTGGTCCTCCATGCTGAGTTTTGAGTAGCTCCTGTGTGCATGGAGCAGATGTGACATTTTTTGACTCCTGCCTGGGAAATCAGAGAAAGGTAAGAGAACAAATGCTCAGGACTTGCTTCTGCCTGGAGAAGAGTAACAGGTTTGTTCTGGACTAGCTCGCCCGGTCTGTCATGATGAAACAGAAAAGAGTCGGGTATACATGTTCAGGTCAACAGTGGATCCATCCAGGGCTTCTCAGAGACAGGGCTATGAGGGTGTCTGGCTATAAGAGGGAGGAAAACTGCAACAGCCATGGGGCCCAGGGAGAAAGGGGTATTGTTCCAAAGGAAGTATGGAATGAAGACAGCATCTAGGAAAGGTTTCTCAAAGATGTTCTGAATGTAAAATACAATTCTGACATGATAGACCAATGAGTATAAAATTTAGACAGTGAAAGATACAAATGGAACACTTTAGTAACACAACCAAGAAATGCATGGTAAATCCAGTAAAAACAACAAAGTTGGGGCCGGGGATTTAGCTCAGTGGTTTTGCCGCCTGCTGTGCAAGCACAAGGACCTGAGTTCGATCCCAGTATCAAAAAAAAAAACACAACAAAGTCGGTGGGAAAAAGTTGTAACGTTCTTTTTAAATATGAATAAAAATGGATGCCCCTTCCAACCTTTTTAGCTCATTTTTTGTTTGACTCGGGACCTTGCGGTTGCGGGGCAGGCGCCGGAACCACTGAGCTAAATCCTTGGCCCCTTTTTAGCTTATTTTTTTATAAAGTTCAGAAAAATTTAATGAAGCACAGATGAATACACTTTGGCATCCAGAAGGCTAATCCCACATAATTCTCTGTGTTAGACTATCTCATTTCTGGACAAGGTAAAGAAGTTAATCTCATGGACATATTGCTTGGGACAGGAAGTGAGCCAAAGACGAAGACCTGCAATTCATAGTCCTGATAGTTCTGCTGCTCTGCAGGGCGGGGCTTTCACTTGGTTTGGACATGAGCGCTGACCAGCATATAATCAAAAATTATACATCTGTATTAAATATTAAAGTTTAAATGATCAAATATTTGTTAATTCCTATTTATATACTTTAAACACAAATTCAAAAAAAAAACAAAAAGCCTAAATAAGAGTAAAGATACATCTCACATTATATCTTGGTTGCCAGAACCCAATATCAAAACTTAAACACAACTGAGCTTTCTTGTAGTCTATGCTTTAAAGGTTGTATTGCAGGGGACAGTGGCTAGAGCCATCAGGGTCAAGGTCTGGACAAGCTCACAATGCAGAAGCTGGCCATATAGAGAACAGGGTGAACCCATGAAGCAACCAGGCACTGTCAGTCCAGTTACTCCAGAAAAACCTCTGCCCAAGTCAGGAAAGAAACCAAAAGTTAGAGACATAGTCCTCCAAGTATCTGTGATAGGTGTCCGGGCTCCCTCACATGGAGAAGGGATGAGTTTTTGGAAAGCTACAGTCAGGGGAGAGGAAGAATATACATGTACAGGCCCAATGAGGCCAGAGCACACCAGACTGCAGTTCTGGAGTTTCTGGTAAGGGCTCAGTGACAGTCATACGAAGAGAAATACAAGCACTCACAAGCACTGGCCAGACAAAGAGTAAACACAAAGACTAAGATTCATTACGATATGATCAGGCAGCCAGGAAGAAAGTGCAGGAAATATTTTCTAAAGAGAAAGGATATGTTCAGTGTCCAGACAATCCAGCAAGCCTAGAAGAAAGTGGCAGAGGATGGAGTTTGAAACAAGGAGCTGGGGATAAGATTCTAACTTGGAACCAGTCGAATAAAACATTAGCTTTGCTGAGGGTTATGGAGGGTGCAGAGAAGAGCCTGTCTCTGCCATCAATCTCCTTGGACACCAAAGGTACCTAACCATGCCATGTTTCTAAGGCAGGCTTGATGCCCTCCAAGGGTTGCTACTATTAGATACATCAACAAAAATGCACAGTATACTGTGGAACAACTCTCCAGATGCCAATACCAATGCAAGCACATGCACTTAAGCTTAAGATGAACATCATTCATAATGTACATGAAACCTTAGCACAAAAGTCCATGTATGTATAGTTACAGGTACAGGAAGCTGTTTTTGTTTTTGACTGATATGAATAAAGTAGGTGGATCAAATGCTCTTAAAAACAAGGTCACTTACTTGGGTGTTTCGGCTCAACAGCAACTCTCACAATAGGGGTGGCTTCAAAGCTAAGTGGTATGAAAGGTGGGCAAGATGGCAAGCTACACAGGGTCGCAGATTTCAGCACAAAGTCTTGAAGACCTCCTATTCCTGCAGAGAGAAAAAGATTCACAGGGTCAATAAGGGATGGCAATTCTGAATTTATGTTAGGAACATAACTGAACTGACATAGTGTATACTTCACAGAGCCAAACACTTTCAAAATGTTACACAGAATGAGGCAGACCTGTGTTGTTTTATAAACCTGGGTACTAACTGCTGTTAAAACCATAGAAATTCTGCTAGTTTTTGTTTTCCAGATATACAACTCCTACTACATGAGATATGGTTAAAGTATACCTGCTTCAAACACAAAAATGACCATTTCCAGATGTATTGGTCTGAAAACAATGATCCTTTCTAACTATTTTAAAGAAATGTAAGACGACCGCTGCAACAACCTATTTTGCTAATCCACTTGCCTATGGATAAAAGGAACTTACTGAGACTTAAAATCTGATGTTGCTGTGGAGTACCTAAACCTAGTGACCCTCCGTGCCACCCTAGATTTAAAGAAAAGCTGCCCCCTCCTGCCTTCCAGGTTCCTGGCTGATGACACCATGAGACTCTGAAGGGTGCATATATATACCTTGCTGAGCAGATGGGAGCAGACAGAAATCCTAGCTGGAGAGATGAAGAGGCTCTGAATTTCACATCCAGAATAGGAGTGGACAGTATTATAAGACATAGTAAGAAACACGTACAAGGTTATTTGTGGGGCTTCATGTTGAGGGGAAGATGGAGGGAGGGAGGCAGGGCAGGAGAGGTCACCTGGTATAGGGCAAGGTGACATAAGAAGAAAGGGCAGAGATACTGCATCAGCATCAACTTTTGCATTTTGGGCTTAGAAATAACTAAAGAAAGGAAATGGAGGAACCCCTTCTGCTTTGTTTCAGTAGACAGTACTGTGAAGGGACAGCCCAGCATCCACTGGGGAGGGGTCAGCAGTAGAGAGGTTCTTCTCTGATTGCAGCGTGGGGACCTCTCACTGAAGGGAGGGAGTGCTCTGAATGTCAAAAAACATTCTCTCCACACACTGTCCCAAGTTAGCTATCCAAAGACTCACAGAAAGGTGCTTCTTCCACTCTCATCAACAACCATGGATTATGAGGCATTTTCAGACCTTTTGACTTTGTTCTGCCTCACACTAAGCGTTACTAATTAGCTCTTTCAGCAGTTCAGATCAGGGCATGGTGTCCAGTGATGGTGAGCTTTTCAGAGCTCTCAATAACAAACGGCCAGCTGTGGCACACATACTATAGGTTTGCCACCAATGGACCTTTTCTGTACCTGGGAACTTCTTCAGGCTAAAGTTTCCAGGGTGCTAAATTCTCTCTGTGCCTCCAGGCTACCTCCTTGACAAAGTCTAATTTTCTTTATGACTGCACCTGTTGGTCCAGTGCACAGAGAAGTCTACAATGGCTACAGCTTCTCATGGACATTGGCCTAGGTACCATGATGCAGCAGAGCTAGTGCCTAAGTTTCTCCCACGGCTCCTAGGAACAGCTTCATTACCAGTGAGGAGACAAGAAAATCCCATGCAAAACATTTCTTTTGAGCCTCTTTCACTTCTCCCCTGCCTGCATCCCTTTCCTGCACAATGAGCACACGGTTTCTGTGAAAAGCCAAATGCTGCCTTCCTCTGTATCACTCAAGACACAAGCTGCAAGTAGGCAGTGTACTTCAGACATTGTGTCTTTCAACTTCTGGTTTATATTTCACTATTCCAATACCAAACCTATTCTTGCTAATTAGACATACCCAGGCCTGTTGACATGATAATTCCTCCAAAAACAGAAAAGAAAAAGGTTAACACTATATTTCTAGTTAAGACTATGAATATATGGAAAAGGCAGGGCTGCAAAAACAGTAAGATCTTTGCTACCTCTACTGTATGACACAATTTTAGTTATTTGAAAAAAAAACCTTTCAAACCAGGAAAGGGATTATTAAGTTTACCTGGGCATATCACAATAAAATTAAAAGAATCATACCACAGTGATATATGTGCACCCATGTTCATACCAGCACAGTTTGTAATAGCTAAAACTTGGAAGCAGCCCAGATGCCCATCAACTGGAGACTGGATAAAGAAAATGTGTGTGTCTTTTTTTTAATAAAATGGAGTACTACTCAGCCATAAAGAATGAGAAATTAGAGACATTTATAGCTAAATGGATGCATATTGAGGCGATACTCAAGTGAAATAAATAGGACACACACGTGTAAATACCGAATAGTTTCTCAGGTGTGAGAAACTGAAAGTGTAAATAAGGAGTAAAAGGTATAATAGATAATGTGAAATAGGAAGAAAAGGGGCAAAGGGGAAGGGGAAATGGGAACGGTAAGGGGGAAAGGAAAAAAGGGAATGTAATTAATATGAGAAAATGGAAAAATTTAAACAAAGTCTTTGTAAATAGGAAGGGAAGGAGGGGTTGAAGGGAGAGCAGGGGAAGGGGGAAAAATAAGAACCAAGAGAGATTATGTAAAGGTGCAAATTTCCAATGATGAATGTCATTATATTGTATA